TGAATACTTAAGAACACAAACTTCATGCTATGGCGTAGTGCGGTGACGGATTTTGCCGACCTTATAAATGAAGAGCGATTAAGATGGCTAAACTTTTGCTTCCATCTTGTCGTGTGATAAAGGTAACCGGAATTTAGCCTTCGTCATTCGCTATAATGTCTCAGCAATTGATTTGTCTGCTTCACTTTCTCTCTTCATGATAGATCACAGTGGTAAACATCAAGAGATCATGCAAAAGATGCAAATGAATCCCACTCCGTCAGAGTCCTTTCGTGTAATAGTCGATGACTGAAACTTACCACCAAGACAAGTAGAAATAGCCCTTCAGGGAAAAACTGAACCTGCTTCCTGCTTGGGGTGGGAGTGAACACGTGCTATCTGCTTCCAGCATGCCTGCCAAACAAATCTGACCAGACCTTACAATGAGCTCCGTTGGAACTCCAGTCGACGGAGTACTATGGCTCTCCGAATGGCACTGGAACAGACACATTGGAAGGTTAACCATGTATGACAAGATGTGGACACCTATCTGGGACTTACACTTGATGAAATTATGCATGCGATCTGCCAGTCTGTCGCATTTTGAACCTTGAGGGGCCCTAAGTTGCTCAGGGTAGTAGGGAGCTACACCTGCAAACTACCTGGGTTGACTAATGCATTAGGCTAGTCTGGCTCAAACTTCTACTGCTCGCAAAAGATACTTCTACAGGACCAGATGAAATCCATACGGTGGTACTGTTGGAAGGGGCATCAGTCCTGTCTAGGGATCATTTAGGTCAAGGGAAAGTACCGTGTCGTTGGAAGTTGGGGCACATAAGGCCAATCATACAAGGAGGTCGACGAAGCAACCCACAAAAATACAAGCGGTGGCACTTTTATCCATACCTTTCGAGGTAATGGAATCGTTAATCTATGGTGGGCTGAGTGATAACTTGACAATGATCTACTTCTTTATGCCCCAACAACACGGATTTTGAGAGGGGTACTCTTAAACCACTAACCTGCTCACTACAGAAGATAGGGAGACTAGCATTGTCGACCGTCGAGGTCAAATTGATAATAATAATAATGTATCTCATACA